GGTAAGTGTCTGGCCAGATGAGGGCATGACAATATGTAGCTGAAAGTTTTAGTCCTTTCCCAACCCTCAACCAAATTGATGGTGATTACCTAACCATTACTGCCTCTATCATCTGAGTAGTGGAATGGATGTGTTATTAAACTAGAGAGGAACATGTCCTCGATTCACCTCTCCACTTCCCAACCCATGCCTGGGAGCTGGTGAGAGGTTAAGCAAACAAGTGACTGGGCCGCCTTGAATTCCTAGGCTCCTGGTCCCTTCCTATGCCCTCATCCATTGTTGGTGGGTATGGGCTAGTATATCGAGGGGGACAGCAGAGCGGAGTACCTCCATGAGAATTATCAGAGTTAAACTACAAAGTGTCCACAAGGGTGGAAAGGTATGTGGCGATATCTCAGGCATCTAAAGAAGCAGAATTACAGTACAGGATATCCCTGCCATATGCCTTTATAATGACTTCAATGCAATATTAGAGTCTCTATTATGAGGTTACACATTTAAAGTATACTTTGTTAACTTGAGTCCTTATTTATTATCTGATGCTCTACAGAGCCCAGCTCGTGCTAAATAATTAGAACATTCCATTTTGTCATATGCCGTTTGTCTGTAAATAGATTCATAGAGGCAACGTTTTTCACGTGATAAGTCCATGATTATTAGTTAGAACATTTTCAAGAAAAAGCATTTTGCATAGTGTAATGAAGGATGACTAAATCACTGACTTTATTAATTTCATTGCTTGATCAATGCTCACGGTGGGATATTTCTTTGAAATAATTACTAGCTAATAGCTATGGAACACAGTAGTGGACTGGGTGTGCAGTGACATCTAGTGGTTTGTGTTATTACTCATTTCTTAACTGCCTTCAAAATGCATGAACACATTTGCTTTTAAAATGATACAAACATATTGGTTTTCACTTTTTAAAATAAACCCTTGTTTTAAAAAAAAAAAAATGTATTAGTTGATTTAATGCTTTCCTATGGGGAAGTTTGAATGCTCGTGCAGAACTCGCCATGCGTGCATTAGGTACCCAATGCTCCTTTCTGAGAAGCACTGAATGTTGAGGGAGCGGAGAGGCATGCAGCACCAAGGCAGTCTCGGTTGAAAAATGGTAAGCTAAACTTGATCTTCACTTAACCTCATATTCACTTTCCTACCCATTTTAGTCCATGACTGATGTGCTGGCACAGTTGCTTAGTGCACTATCAATATATGTTATCATCTCTCTTAATTGCAAGTTTTGCTCTCAGCAGGTTAAAATACAATTCTTCTTAAAAAGAACCACTATTAAGGAAGCTTAGTGTTGTAGTGTTCTTAAAATAACACTAAAAGCACCATAACCCCATCAGACCAATAAAGTGGTTATGGTTCTAAGTGTGCCTTGGCACCCTCCCAGAGTTTTCTTTGAAACCATATTAAAACAGGTTAACCTGGGTGCCTCAGTTACTTGCACAGCATGCAGTCTTCTACTGCAGGTAATGGATATCTTCACTAAGTTAAAGTGTTACTCTAACCACTAAAACCTCTGTAGCATTAATATGGTAGGAGTACCCTGACACTGTTCCCTCATCATGGTACTAATTGTATAAAATGGTTTGCCCTTTTATCTGGTCCTACCAGGCGCCAGCTCTCGTCTGTAGGGAGATTTGCGAAATCTAGCTTCTGCAGAGGTGCAGAAGTCTAGTTTCGATTCTACTGTTTATTCAGTGGCTGAGAGTGTCAGCTGACTGCTCTCAGGCAGAGAATTACTCACTAGACATTAAAATTTGCACAGAACTCTTGTTCCAAGCTGGCTGATGATGCCCCATGACACTCCTGGAATTGGAGGTTCACCTCTATCCCTAAAGTGGTTAAAACACCAGGCACCATAATAACTTTACATCACCAAAGTGGTCATGCTGCTTCGAGCAACCCTTTAAGCATGGTCAATATAGTACCAGGATGTTTGGTGTACAGCTCTCTCTGGTAGAGAGCCAGGACACTCCTCTCACCATACCAGTGTTCTTATTCATATATTGCCAGCATTTTCCACAGAGGTTTTTAGTTACAGAAAGAAAGAAACTCCACTAATGGGTCGCACAAAGAGGCACACAGATACCGTCAGTACCCCGGGATCAGGCAGAGAGCCATCAATCTGCCCCTTTCTCACCGGGATCTAATACCACAGCATAAGACGGAGGCCGCCAGCTCTAAGCAGGACTTTCTCCCCTCTACCCCAGCAAGATTCTCACCAACACCATCCCAGTCATCGGACACCCAGATGCCGCTGGAAGGGGAATTGAGGGCAATTGTACGCAACTTGCTTACCAAAGTGGACTTCGAGGCCCTCTCAGACCGCCTGGGCCGTGTGGTGCGGGAGGAGATAGCCCAGCTACATTCCAATATGGGAACGTGGAAGCCAGAATGTCGGTGGCGGAATCCAGATCGCTCCGTACGGACTTAGAGCAGACCACAACCGTGGTGACAAACTGTGAGGCTGATATGGCCCATTTAACAAAGTGGGTGGATGACCTAGGCGACTCTCCATGACTCGGGCCTAGTGAAAAAGAGGGCCCCAATAAGAGTGGGGCGAGAAATGGGGGCCAGCCACCCACCAGTTAAACCTAAGGCAAGAGGGGGGGACCCTATCACTTTTGGGGTGTGGTACGGAGAACTCTGCCGCCAAACAGGCTGACTCATTTGTCCAGGGTATACAGACGCTTCCACCAGCCAAAACAAATCTTCTAAACCCAAATGAAGAATATCCACACTGTGTGGGATAATAATATATATATAAAAAAGACAACATTAATCTGTCTCTAACTCCGTTTAACAAAGATTATTGTATGTTTTGCATGGTGTTTATATACATTTTTATCTGCACTCACTATGAAACTGCCACAGCTTTTCTAAACAGAGCTGTGCTAGGGAGAGTATTAGGGGGTTAACAAGGGAAGAGACAACGGTTGGAATTGTAAGCACAGATGGGCAGATAACTTGCTTATACGAAAGGTGATAATGTATCGCTGATCCTATCATACCGCTTGTATTGAATGTATACCTATAACAGGTGCTTTACTTCCCCAGCTAACGCCACAAACGGAAGAACTAACCTTAACGCTACCAATGGTCTGCGGGAGATGTGGGGACAACCCACACGGGGATGGGGGGGAGTGGGGAAGAAATAGAGGAGAGACAAGGGTGTCCACACGAGAGATCTAAATACATGCCCTGGGTAGCGGCACCCCTTTGAATGGTCAGCGCTAAAACTGCACCACCCACATTGGGGCTTACACCCCTGGGGCAATCACAAGATAGATGCTCCCACAGAGCTTGCCATTACCCCACCCCACTCGACCTGACCCTATGACTAAGCCTGGAAACTATAGGGCGCAGCCCACATGCGAGCCATGCCCCTTCCCCCGAGTATGTACTGGTGATCCGACCACGGAGAGAGGACCCACACACAAAACCACAGACACCATTCGAGACGAACCGCACACTACTGACAGCCCACACACACACCTCTGCAGAGAGTTTCAGCGGACCCACACCTACCAAAGTAGAGATATGTAATCACATACTTTCTCCAGAGAGTAGAGTAAACTAGTAGATACCCGCCTGAATACACAATAGGATACAACCGGGTGTTCAGAGACGGGGACGACCTTCCTGGGTGGATAACCCACCCTCCCTTCAGCGATAGGACATAGCAAACCCCCTGTACAGGGGTGAAGCTTTGCTCCAGGAGTTGACCCAGGTCCACAGTTTCACTAGACAGAGGAGCCCATCTACCTGGAACCTTGTCCGTTAACGTGCGCTAGCCCCTAGTTTAGATGGGGTGGCCGTAGACAGTTAAGTCCTAAATATTCCTGGCCACAACCTGCCGCACCTGCTACCCATACACGCCCACCTCCTCCTCACTCACTACCGCCCCCCCCACCCCACTATCCCTTCCCCCAACCAGCCTATTCGCCCGAGAGGACCTGATCCTCCTCTCATATAATGTCCATGGTGCACCCGACTCTTGAGATGTTATCTTAAATGATAAGACTGTCCTTCTCTTTCAGATCGTGGCTGGTCTCACCGATGTGCAGACTTCATACACTTCCGTGTTCCTGGTCCCGTGACACCTTTTGCCCCTTCTCCTGGGGCTCTCAAATTAGCAGTTTCTCCTCCCACCACTGTTTTGTCTTTGTAGATCAGAATCTTTAACCTTCGCTGCAAGATACCTGGGGGTCTGGCTTACACTGGACCCGGCAGACCTCTATTCCCACAACTATGTCCCCATTCTGAAGGCAGTCATGGAGGAACTGCACACATGGAACTCCTACTAGATCTCCTGGTTGGGCCGGGTGAACGCAGTCAAGATGACGCTGCTGCCCAAACTTCTATTCATCTTTCAAACAGTGCCAATTTTAACCCCAAAATCATTCTTCATCACCCTAAAGATGGAAGTTCGTAAATTTATTTGGAAGGGCAGGTCCCCCCGCGTAGCACATTCCCAACTAACACTACCCAAACATCGAGGCGGACTGGCGCTCCCTGATTTTGAGAAATACTTCCTAGCTGCCCACTTCACCAGAATCATCAGCTGATCGGTAACAGGGGATACCAAACCATGGATCAGGCTAGAATCAGATACCACCAACAGCAACCAAGAACCCTGCCATGGATTACCAAGGAAGCAAGCAAACGCATACCAATCTCCAAGCCATTCTTAGCAGCAACCATGCAGATCTGGCATAGACATGGCACGAAACAAAACCTAACGACAAACCCCAGCCCAATGCTCCCCCTTAGGGACAACCAGGGACTTCCCAGCAGGAGACCAGGGACCTCTCCCGGGTCTGACCAAGTATATACCGGTAGTCCGTATGGTGGATGTCCTCCAACAACCGTTCACCATCCGCCCGCTCTTAGAAATCTTCCCCGAACGACCACATATATTTATGCATACACTGGGGAGAGCACAAATCATACAAAATGCCCTGTCGATCCCACTGAAACCCTACCTAATGAGAGAACACACACAGTTCAAATTACTCTGCACACAAGAAGCAGAGTAATTTGAACTGTGTGTGTTCTCTCATTAGGTAGGGTTTCAGTGGGATGAGCCATATCCTGGATATACCATGAGCCATATCCTGGATATACTCCGACCTAGTAACGGGTTGATACATTCTGGCACCCCTATGCATCAGGCAATAGGAGGAGGACCTTGAGGAGACAATAACGGAGGCGGACTGGGACAAGATCATAACTCATATACAGGAAACACCAGGGTTGGCGAGGGTAAAAGAAAACTCTTCACATGGTGGTACCTCTCCCTGACGACTCTCCACGCCAGAGACTCTAAGATCCCTGATACATGCTGGCGGTGTGGGGAGGCAAAGGGCACATTCACACACATATGGTGGAACTGTGCCCGCATCTGACCCTTCTGGAAGGCAGTTCGAAAGGTGATACAGGAGGTCAGAGACGAATCCCTACCACAAGCACTGGCCACCTTCCTCCTACACAACAACACTATGCCAACACCGACGTATAAACGGTCCATCATCCCGAGACTCCTCAATGCTGCAAAGGCGATCATCCCCATCTTCTGTAGACAGACGTGTATGCCTCCCCTGAGGTCTTGGGTGGAGGACACGAGGAAATTTGAGGACTTGAAAGTGAGCACACCGAAAGACAGAGACAGATACACACAGCTGTGGTTTCACTGGCTTCACAATGTTTCCTCAGATGACTTCATATAACACCTGACCAACCCATGAGCAGTTACGGAGAGGAGAGAGACAGCGGGTTCAGGTGAGTTCAGAGTGTGGCGCAGCATGACGGGGCAGTGACTGAGGATACGGTCCCCTGCCCCCCTACCATCCCCACCCCCCGTCGTTCTTGCCTCCATCCTCCTCACCCTCTAACACAGATATCTCTCCCACCTCCCTGCCCACTTCCCCCTCCCAGCTGCGGACTTAATCCACACATTTTAGAAAATACAGACATCTGGCTGTGGCTCGTGAACCCCTAGATAGACTAAGACATCACTTCCCAGAGACAATGGCGCCATAACATAAGGCCCCACGTCACCAAGAGTTGGCCCACACACCACCACCGCTACATAGCACACTATGAAATCTTAGGGCTCCAACAGAACCACATAAGACCCTATTCAGAATGAATACACAACATACTTCCCAGGATTCCTAAAACAGCAACTAATTCAGGATGGCTAGGGCTGAAGCTACTTGATGCACTACCGAGCTATCTGTTGAATTTCACAATGTTATCTTGAGAACGGAAAAGGTAATACCGTAAATTTAAGCAAGAGTTTTAATATATTAGCTGCAAAGAAAAATGTTTCTGTTTCCCACACTATATGATTTTTTTTGCATTTTACCTCCTGCATGGGAAACCTATTTGATGTTGAGACACTAATAAAGACAGATTTAACACAAAATATTGACAAAGACAAGATGTGAAAAAGGTCCAGCTTGGCTTACAAACTACAGCAGGCATTAGTGCTTGTGTTGTGTTGAATCTTACTTTAATAATAATTAAATTTTACATCATATAACAAACATTGATTTCCTTCATGTTAGCAGGAAAAACATTATCCTCACAATACGAGGCTAATCACATATTCCATGACTATGTGAAGTATTCATATCCATCAAGCAAAATCTGTAATATCATAATCCAGTTTTGACATTACACACATTTGTCAAAGTGTACAGAACAGTGTTCATTAAAAGGGGCACTCCACACACCTAAAAACATTAGCTTGCTGAAGTGTTTTATGTGTGTCATCTTTTTATTAATATTATTTAATAATTTTTTGTAGAAATTAGCACTTTTGTAAATTAACCTTGTTAAACCCCTGGTTATTAGTGAGACAACTGGCCTTCTTGCTCCCTTGTTGTTTAGCTCAGTGGACACACACAATTGCCTAGAACACCTGTCTTGCAAAGACTTCTTATTAAGTTGCTTTGGGAAGTCTGTGATTGGACAGCATTGTCTTTATGTAGCTAGCTATGTGTAGTTCTCACGATTAAAGGCTATTTTACAGTTTATTCTCATTTTGTGATTTTTGATAAACATGTACGCAAAAATTGTCAACATATAGCAGCTGAGCTACCACACGTATGCTGGGAAATCTCAGCATAATTTAATGTTACTACCTACTTCACATTTTGAGCAATGGCACAATAAAATATATACCACACAGTCTGTGCAAAAGTTATTAAATGCAGTAATAATGAATTATTATCTAGCTGTGTTTATCAAGAGGACTTGGAATACAATAGTTGCTGATTAATTCTTCTTCCAAATGAAGAAAAGGAAATTGTACACAAGAGCAAAATATGAAAAGGAAGGAGATGACCTCATCGAGCTGTCTGCGAGTGCCAGGTTCGCTGCTTTCCTATGTCCGGGCTCTTTGTTGAAAGGTTCAGGCACAGTGGGGTGGTGACAATAAAGTACCCTTATCATCTCGTAATATCCAGCCAGAAAATGTACATCTTGCACTTGTGACGTTAAAGATTTCGAAACAGGAAACTGTTCTTTAACATTTTGGAATTGTGATTATTTTATTATTGAAACCTATCTTTCAACATACAGAATAATATATGTGATTTATCATTTTCTTTTTCCATGTGCTGTAGTAGCACTTTTTCCATCCACTGGCGTCAAGATAGGTGACATCAGGTTAGAATTTAAGCATGTCTGTGCCAGTACTTATGTATTGATTATATTACTTTACTGGAACTTATTGGTAAATACAATTAAAATTGTTGTCATTTTATATTTGTGCTGTTTTTAGTTTACCTTTAATTATATATTCCAAAGCCGTTGTCGTCAACCATGAACAGGTTTCTTGAATACTTTACCTTTCTTAGGCAAATTTATTGCACATCTTAAAGGGAAATAAACTTTATTCATTTACATGATTTCTTGACAACCATTTCCAAATGTCGATTTAAATTACACAGGTCCCTTGATTTACTAAGCAATTGGTTATGGTGGCATGACTGTAGACTATAGAAATCTCCAAATGACTTTAACTTTAAGGCATTAATGTTATATGGTTATAATGAATAGAACTAGTGTTTTGAAATGGCCACAATAAATAGTAAAACAAATTAATGGGGAAAAAACCCACATTAAAAGCAGTTTGACTTTGACTTTAGCGGCAATATCTTGAAGTAATTGTTTTCTGTATGACTTTATCAGTCATTGTGGAGGAATTTGGCCTATTCTTTTACAGTTCATTGAGGTTTGCTGGCACATTTAGCAGTTCATTAAGGTTTGGACTTTGACTGGGTGATTATTTTCTTTTTCAGCCATTTTGTTCTAGATTTGCTGGTGTGCTTGGGATCATTGTCCTGTTTCATGACCCAATTTTGGCCATGCTTTAGCTATTGGACAGATGGCCACACATGTAACTCTAGAAAACTTTGGTATACAGAGGAGTTCATGGTCGAATCAATAACTGCAAGGTTTCCAGGTCCTGTTGCTGCCAAACAATCTCAAATCATCACCACTTCACTACCATGCTTGACAGTTATTATGAGGTGTTTATGATGACATGCTGTTTGGTTTTCACCAAACGTGGTCCTGTGCATTACTGTGTTACAGTGTCATTTGCACACTCTCACTGACATACACAACGTAACTTGCACTTGCACATTCACACTAACACACCATGTCCCTTACACACTCTCACTAACACACCGTGTCCCTTACACACTCTAACACACACAGTCTCACTTACACACTATCAATAGCATACACAAACAGTGTCACTTACACATTCTCACTGACATACAAAACATAACCTGCACATTCTCATTTACACACTCTCACTAACACACACACTCAATGACATACACAGTTTCACTAACACACACTATCATTGACATACACACAGTGTCACTTGCATACTCTCACTAACACACACAGTGTCACTTGCACACTCTCACTGACATACACACACAGAGTCACTCAAACCCAAGCTTACACCACTTTACATATAGTCACACTTTATTTACACACAGAAATACAGCAATTTAACACACACACACACACACCAATTTACAACCATTCATACAATAAACAACCCCCCTTAGCCTACCTGTGAAGAGGAGAAGAGGTCCAGGCTGCAGGAAGTTGCTCTTCTTTTTGCTGGGGGAGCAGGAGAACTGTGCACTGTGAGCACAGGCTGCTTCCTGTTCCCTTCAGAGAGCTTCTGGTGTCCACAGACAGGGGGCAGCCGAGATACCAGGTCATGTCCTGGCTTCCCCTGCCTTCCCTTAAGTCCCTGTCTCTTTGGAAAACTGGGAGATGTAAAGGAAACAAAAATTAAAGTAAAAAAAACAAAACACTTTGCCATAGATGGGAGGATGCAGTGTATCACACTACTAACCAATAAAACCATCAAAACATAATTTGGTTAAAACAAGAGAAGAGCATTTTCCATTTACACCCAGGTGAATTTATAGGTATAGGCCTCTTTGAGCATTAGCTATATTTGTAACAAGATCTAGACAGGAAGAAGGGCATAGAAACGTATAACTCCATGGGGCTTGTTGTCCTGGAACTTTCTAAGTGGGAGCAGATTAACTCATTTGGACACAGGGTAAAGATAACCATGGAAATAAACAGTATTCTAACAAAAGAACTACTTTGTTACTGGGTATGGGGCAGGGAGGTGGCATTTGTAGACTTCAAATTGCTTATTGGTCCTATCTAAATTTGAAAAGTGGGTGAACTACCCATTGTCCTGATGCCACAGATATTGCTAGCAAAGTGTGTTTCAGATATTGGCCTCATCATGTGTGATTGTAACAGCAATGCTCATTCATTTTTTATGTAAATAATTGTATAACTCTTACTGGTTAGTATAAAAGTGCATTGTGGCAAATGTAAGGGCAGAATGAATTTCTATATTTTATGTAAAATAGTCGATATAGGTTTTAATTTTTAAACCACCAGTTATTAGGGAAAATATTGTCGAGATGAGACAGGGCTATATAGTAAGATTGGTAGATCCCAATAAGATAGATAGAGGCCGTGAAATCAAAGTTCATGTGATT